GGGTTTAGGGTTTAGGTTTTCGGGGCTTCAGAGGGACTCTAAACTGAAAGGCCTGAACATCGTAGAGCCCCAAAGCCCCGAAACCTCAAAAACCGCCAAACCGGTAACATGCTCAGCAGTCCTTGAGACGTCGAGGCCTCACGAAGCCCTGAAGCCCCAAAGCCCTAGACCCCAGAACCCCAGAACCCCAGAACCCCAGAACCCCTAAACCCTAAACCCTAAACCCCACAACCCCCTAAACCCTAAACCCTAAACCCCAGAACCCCAGAGCCCCAGAGCCCCAGAGCCCTCAACCCTAAAACCCAAAAGCCCCAGAACCGCGAAACTTCAAAAACCCTTGAACCCAAAAGGGGCCCCACAGCAAGGGCTTGGTAGTTTGATCTCAAGGCACTTCATGGAACCCCCGGAAAAAAAAAAAAAGAACCCTGAAAGGGACTCCTTCTAACCCTTACAAGTCTAGGGCTTGAGGTTTTTAGGGCTTTCTTTTTTGCAGCTCCCTTTTGGGTTTAGGGTTTGAAGGAATCTCCGGCCTTCCACAGTCGTGGCTCGGGTGCAGCCACTTGCCGCTGTCGGCCACATGGCCGAAGACCAGCTGTTCACGAAACCAAACCGTTGCAGTGCCTTGCGTCTTAGGGTTTAGGGTTTAGGGTTTAGGGTTTAGGGTTTAGGGTTTAGGGTTTAGGGTTTAGCAACCACACCCTTGCTGCACCTTTGGGGGTTTCTGTAAGGGTGTTTTCAGGGTTCTCTGATTCTAGAAGTGGCCTAGGAGAAGGCTATAATATAGATTACAAAGGCTCTGCAGTCCGCAGGGGGTTTAGGTGTTTAGGGCTCCCAACGTTTGGGGAAAAGTCAAAACAGCCGGCAGAAGTGGAAAGCTCTTTATTGTGCAGACTGGCTTACAGTCACCGTTTAGGGTGTAAGCTTCACGGCTTAGAGCTTTGGGTGTAGGGCTCTTCCACCGCAACAAACTAACCGCCAGGCCACTCCCTTCATTAGCATCCGTCACTTTTTTCATGACCTCCTCATATGCCTCACCACCAGGCACCGACGCAACAGCTGTGGGGAAGCTTTTCCGCATGTAGTCGAGGCAATCGTAGCTGGCATAGTAGGTGAAAACGAGACCAGTGCCCGCCGTCCAGTCACACTCCGCGCGGAAACCTGGGTTCTTGTTCAGACGTCTGGGCTCTCCTGCTAAGAAACTCTAAGAGACCCCCCCCTTATAGGGATTCTAACACAAAGGGGTCATGTAAGGATTTCGTACTTGGATGAGCTTACCACAACAAGGAAAGAAGAAGCACATATAAATACGATGTCATTGTTTCTAGACCATGCCTCCATATCATAATTGGCATCCTAAACCAAATTGCTCAGCCCTAAACCCTAAACCCTAAACCCTAAACCCCAAACCCTAAACCCTGAAAAAAGTTGGAGGCCATCGAAGACCTATCAACCCCCTGCAAAACGCGAGCAAACCCTAAGCCAAAAAGAAATGACAACAACAACTTCATCCGGAGCTCTTTTCCCCCAAACCCTAAACTAGGCCCTAAACCCTAAACCCTAAACCCTAAACCCTACACATAAAAAAGGCCCGAGGAACCCGGATCTTCCCGCAGCTCCGGTTCGGCGAAGTGCAGGAGCCAGGAGGCTTTCGTCTGTCGCACGGCCTGCAACAGGAAAAAACAGTCGGTTTAGGGTTTAGGGTTTAGGATTTAGGGTTTTGATGTTAGAACTTGGGGCACATGGATGCGTATGCGTGGGTATATATATATATATCGACATGTACATATGTACTTTTTCAATATAAACAGACAAATGCATGCGAATGCATACATATCTATCTGTATATACA